TGGGCAAGGACATTCAATACATATGCAACAATCTGCTTCCTTACTGGGCCAATAGAAATCACAAATTATTGTTTCTGGGACTTATAACTTTCTCTCTTTCAAAACGTTACTTATAAAAATATAGTTAGATTTGAGAAAATGCTGGCTTAAAATCAGAGACTTCTAAATATCTGATACAAATATTAAGAAAAATCGGTAACAATATAGAACTGATTTCATGTTTCAAGGAAAAAAGTGTTTTACCTTTTTGTAACTGGAGTTCTTTGAGATGTGTTGTTCATGTCCATTCCACAGTAAGTTTGTGTGCTCACTACATGCACCTGTTGAAGTTTTCCCTCGGCAGTACCTGTAAGGGAACAGCCCTGGAGTGGCCCCTCCCTGGCACCGTATAAGAGGAATGGCATGCTCCCCCCCACCCTCAGTCCCTTCTTGTCGGAAACGCCAACATTGGGGAAGAGCAGGATATGGAATGGACATAAGCAACACACCTTAAAGAACACCAGTAATGAAAAGGTAACTGTCTTTTCTTCTCTGAGTCCTTGCTCATGTCCATTCCACAATATGTGAGTCTAGGCAGGGGTTTGTGAGCATGCTGACTATAGCACAGCACTGACTAATCTAGCATCATCTCTGGTCTCTTAGGTAATGGCATAGTGGGAGATGAATGTCTGAACAGATGACCATGTTGCAGCCATGCAGACCTTGAGAATGGGCACATGTGCCAAAAAAGATTGCTGACAAGGCCTGGATCCTAGTTGAGTGAATTCTGACAAGGGTCATCAAGGGACCTTGGCAAGCTCATAGTAGCTCCAGATACAGGAGATGACTCACTTGGAAAGCCTCTGAGCCAACACTGGCAGGCCTTTCATTCTATTGTTAGTGGCCACAAAGAGCTATGTCAATTTATAGAAAGGCTTAGTGAATTCCACAAAGAACACCAATGCCCTCTTGACATCCAGGGCATGGAGTTGCTGTTCTTCTGCCAGCTTATGGAGATTGGGGGCAGAAGACTGGCAGGAATATGTCCTGATTAATGTGAAAGATGGACACAACCTTTGGCAGAAACACTAGGTACGGCCACAGCCGGACCTTGTCTTCATAGAAGATTATATATGGTGATTCTGAAGTCAGAGCTCTAATCTCTGACACCCGTAATGCCAAGGTAATCACCACCAGAAATGCCACCTTCCAAGATAGGTGGAGCAGCAAGCAAGTACCAAAGGGCTCAAAGGAAGGACCAATGAGCCAGGAGAGGATGAGGCCCCTTGTGGGACAGGATCCTTAATCTGAGGATAGAGCCACTCCAGGCCCCCAGGAACTGCACCATCAAGAGAATGTACTCCTGGACTGGTTGGTGGAAAGCGGAGATGGTGGCAAGGTACACTATGATAGAGGAGTGTGTCAGCCCTTGGTTCTGAAAGTGTAGTAGGTAATCCAGGATGGCTTGGATTGGGGCACAGAATGGCGAGTTACCAATGTCCACAGGAAGATTCGTGCCCATTTCTCCTGATACATCAAGCATATTGATAGCTTCCTGTTACCCTGAAGGACTTGCTGAACTTTCTTCGAGTAGATGTGCCCCTCTTTCAGCCATGGAGCTTCCATGCTGAACGGTGCAAGAACATGAGGATGGGTTGTAAAAATCAGCCATGATTCTGTGACAGCAGATCCAGGCAGTTCGGGAGGGGCCAGGGCAGATAGCATATCAAGCCCATGAGCATGCCAAATTAGTGTTGGTGTGGCCACACTGGCACAATTAGGATTATGTGAGCCTTTTCTCATTTGATCTAATACAAGACCCACCCAATGAGGGGAATCAGTGGGAAGGCATAGAGAAGGACCCTGGAGCATGAGATGAGAAACATGTTGGAGAGGGAGTCCTGTTCCATCCCTTCCCAAGAGCAGGATAAACTTGAATACCCTCTTTATAAGGCTCTTGCACAGGTCAAGTTGATCACCACCCCAATGAATTCTATCCTTTGGATGGGCATTAACATGGACTTTTTGTCATTGACTAGGAGAGCCAGCTGATGGCCAGGAAGACCACTATGTGGCTGTGGACCTGGGACCTGCTTGGAGGTAAGGTAAGGATGAATCTGTCTACTCCGATGCCTGAAGTAGGCTGCCATCACTACCATAGATTTGGTGAAGATCCTCAGCGCTGTGCCCAGGCCAAAAATGGAGGACCACAAACTGGTAGTGGGACTATCTCACTATAAAGCAGGATTTCCCAACCTATGAGTCAGGACCCAAATATGGGTCTCCATTACATTTCAAAAGGGTCACCAAGTGTTTTCCCAGGTGGTTCTGCCCTCCCTCCTCCACCCCATTTTTGAATTGCCTTGGGTCACCACGTCTTCCTGAATTGTCAAAATGGGTCCTCATCTGGAAAAGGTTGGGAACCGCTGCTATAAAGCATAAGACTCACCTGTGGCAAGGAAAAATCACCATATGGAAGGAGGCATCCTTCAGGTTGAGGGAGGTATACCAGTCTCCCAGATCCAGGGCAGGGATCATGGAGGCCTGGGAGACCATGCAAAACTTGAGCTTTCGTAGGTACACATTGAGACCCCTAAGGTCCAAGATGGGCCACAAACTACTCTTGGCCTTTGGGATTAGGAAATATTTACACCAAAGATCTGCCTATGCAGCAAAAAAGAAGCTGTCCAGAGTACAATGATTCCTGACTGGCAGCAAGAAAAAACAGACAGTGGGGGGAGCACACATGATTTGTCCTTTTCATATGTGTTCATTTTTTTTAAATTGTATCCTTAGGTATATATGACTGTGACTATTTTCTTCCACTATTTGATCTGAGGAAGTGGGTCTGGCCCACGAAAGCTCATCATCTAATAAACCATCTTGTTAGTCTTTAAAGTGCTACATAGTCCTGTATTTTGTTTCATCTTTTGCATAGGGTAGCAAGACACTTTTGTGAGCTAAAATAATGATTTTCCAAGAAAAGTTAAACTATTTATTAATCCGTAGAAAGTCTGACTCAAATTAGCCCATTAGTCATTACGAGACTATTCTGAAACCTATTCCCAAAGTTCTCACTACAAACACAGTATATACTTATGGTTCAACTGTCTCACCAGTCACATGAGTATCAATCAGAATACCTCCCTCCCAACCATATAGCTCAATACTTGTCACACAATATTTGATACATAATAGCAGTTGTCTATGTTTGCAGGCAGATAGATTATAAATATAAACTCTATGTTGCTTATCCATTAAGGCTGCACTATACCTAGAACAAAACCACCAAAGCAAATAAATGAAAAACTAAGACACCTAATGGCATGTACCCAATACTTCTTCCCCTAAACATAGACTTCACAGGTCACACCATTAGAATAATCCAAAGAAAATACACGGCATCTTTATTCTACCCATGTAGTAAGGCTATCCATGCAATACCACTTTTCACAAATTTCTGAGCACCATTATTACAGACAGACCAAATTCTCCCACTACTATCCTTTCTACATTGTTCTAGAAAACTATATTGACTCATCTCTGAGAAAGTGGCACTATTCCATATATTGGAAACAGAAGATAACTGGAACAAGTATTTTTAAAGAAAAAACTATCTATTTATTGCTGCACATATGGAGCAAAAGCAGACTTTTTTCCAAACTATTATACCATAACCTCACATACACCTTGCTACCGTGATCCAGAACTTTACTAGAATTTCTTCTTTCTAAGCATCTCCTTCTCATTGACTCGCTGATGTCCAGATGATGTTTTTCCACCCTCAAATTTATTATGTTTTTTCAGAAAGAAATATAAATATTCTATCAATACTTTTCCTGGTAATTTTATTTTCTCTCCATTCCTCAGTATTTACAACAATTTGACTTCATTTCATCTGTAGACTTAGGTTCCAATGGTGCTAACTATTGAACAAAGACCTTTCCACAGCTCCACTGAATCCGAAGGGGTTCCAGATATCATTAATGTATTAACAGTCTGTAGGACTGAGGCATTATTTTATATGTTGGTTATCAACAATACCGGGTCATTAAAAGGAAAAGAGCCCTGTGTAGCTCAGTGGACAAATATCAGCCCACAAGCTGAATCCAGTCTGCCAGGGTTAGCTCCCCACCACTATATTTACCTGCATGGCCACAGGTATCAGCGATCAGCTCCTGTTGGCTGCAGACCACCATTTCTGTCCAATGGGAGCTGCAGGAAGAGGTGTCCAAGTCCAACACCACTTCCTGCCACTCCCATTGGCCGGGAACAGCAATCCTCAGCCAATGGAAACTGTGATCATGGGTACGTGCAGCCTTGCAAGTAAATATAGTGGTGGGGATCCACCAGAAGCTAACCCTGGTGTAGGTCAAAGTCTGTCTCTTTCGTAATATAAGTTAATCCAATAAAAGATATCACCTTATCTACTTTGTCTCTCTAATGTTAAGCATATGTAAGCATAATACTGATCCTGCAACAGTCTGAGACACCTTCCCATAAGTTAATACATTTGCTTTGTATCATTATCCTTTACTTAAAATTCATGTGTCACTGCTCATAACCAAAACCTTTTCAATTCATTTTCCATGCAGGAATTTGTGAGGTAACACACCAAATATTTTACTGAAGGTTACATATTATGTACTGAATAACCTTTCAGTATTTTAGCAATTGTAGAGGCAAGAAGCCAAATTATGTTCTCAATAAAGTTGCACCAATTTAACAAAGATTAATGCTTGGCCCACATGTTCATATTTATTCATTTTCCATTACAAATATTGGACTAAACTTCCATACATTAATACCAATACATTCAACTAGAAATAGCTAATAGCTAGAAACATAAGGAATTCTTAGCCCTTTCTTAACCTCATTAAATTTTAACCTCATTAAAAATTGTGAAACCTTATGGTGTTAGCTGCAAAACGCAAGATGTAAAAAATAAAGCCAGTTCCTTTATAAAAGGAAACTCCAATCTGTTTAATATTAATGTTCAATAACAATTAACAAGATTTTACCTTCCTGTCTGTTGTTTTTTCTCTTCAGCCATTTTTCCACTGTCTCAGCACTTACACTTTCGGACACAAATTCATCCAGTACCTGGGGGTGAAGAGAAAGATAGGCCTTCACTTTTTCATCTGTCAAACCTGCAAAAGAAAATATTAATTGATTACATTATTGTCATATTGCTCCTTATGGTAATGCTTAGAGACTCCCCATCTAGATCAGGGCTCCCATTTATGCTCAGGGTTGTAAAAATACAAATGTAGACATGGTTCCTGACCTGAAGCATTTACAATCTAAGACAAGAAGTGACATACAAAGAGAAGGAAAAGGGGAAATGGACACATTCATGGAATATATTTCTACTACAAGGTGATGCATGGTAGAACTCACAAAGGTTATTGCAGATGTTGTGGGAAAAAAGTACTGGCAGGAAATCAAGACTGGAATCACTGGTGCCAGTGATTGTGGGGCTCTGCGAAAAATGTGGAGGCAGTGAAGCCATCTCAGGAGCAGTATGGTCTAAACAACAGGTAGGCAAAAGGATCTTAGCAAATGCATTTTGTTAGATTGGAGAACGGTGATGTGAGGAGAAAGACTGTAATAGGTGAGGACATACAGGCCTAAATGGGAGAGATGCATTCTAAACTAGAACCACCAACAACATTTGGATGCAGCCAGCACTGCAAGGGTAAAGGAGAGTGAGGAGTCAAAAGATCACACCTGGGTTATGGGGCTGAATGATAAAGTGGCTGGTGACAGTGCCATCAGCAACACAGAAAGGGAACAGAGATAGTTTTGAATGGCAAATCAAGTTTGGTTTTGGCCAGGCTGAATTTAAAATGACAGAAACACCCAGGATGATGTAATTGGAGAAATTGGCTGAGATGTGGGTTTGGATGGGAGGGAAGGTATTAAAGGGTGAATGTGTGTCTTATTAAGTGCCAAATTCTGTGTCGTCACTTAAAGAGCAATAACAACTACACTAACATCAAAATTAGGCGGAAACTTAAAACGCCAAAAAATTACAGATGTAACTTTAAAAGCTGAAGAAATATTCTAACCTATAGGCAACCATTATTTCAGAAATTTGGTTATAGGCTGTGGTAAATTTCTTTACCATATCTATCAACAGGAAACCAGTGGTATTTTAGTAAATGCAGGACAACCAAAGTGTCACATCAGAAATAATATGTGAAATTCTTGTTATCACAAACTTACGGGGCTATTCAATTTCATACTGTACCTATTAATTTCAGGGATGTGCAAGTGAAATGGCGCTATAATTTTTCAAGGGAGAAAAGGAAACAAGTGTAACTGCCTTAAGAGAGATACATGTTTTCACAAACACAAGGCATACTGAATACAGAAGTGTTAATTAGTTCTGCTGGGGACTGAAGTAGCAATGCAGTAACTCCTTAACTACTGCTTCTCCTCCAGAGTTGTGTATACATAAACATATTTTCAGTGCAGCAGTGAATTAATAACAGAGTTAGCACAAGTAACAAAAAGCAGGTCAGAGTTAAACAAAACAACTCTCCCCACATGTTAAATTCATTTTGAGAATACAGCACAATACAGAAACATAGATGCTTCAGTCAGTAAGATTATAAATCTTAATATTCCTTGCTCATTTAAAAAATATCATAGTTAGTGTCTTTCAGAATGAAAATATTTGGCTATTAATAACAAAATACAAAAACAAAACACAGCACTATGCTGTCCAGATTTACTCCACTGAATGTTAGAACTGCTACACACCAACACTTGATCATCCACACCAGACCACTACTACTATGAAATTAGTATGAAATTCAGGTCAACCTAATCCATGTCGATGGCCTCCTGCAGCAATCAGTACGTGATGCAGCAGGTAATAGTCTCTAAGCACCACCATTCCATACTTGCACAAATTAAAGTTAGACCACTTAGTAAGGTGATTGATTTTCATTAGAACCTTTATATTTATACCATAAAAATATACCATAATCCGGATGTGCATCCTCTGCAGGGATCAATAACCCTTTTCCAACCAATGTACATAATAAGCTCATATATCCTGACAAATTAAATTTGATTACTTATATATATATTGTTTGTAATAGGCTGCATAAAGAAATAAATAATTATATTTGTGATATGTAGTCCTGCTTTCCTTGTAGGACAATATGCTTTTGATTTGAAAATGCTTATAAGTAAGGATATATGACACTCAACTGTTTTGGAGATTCAGTTCAGTTAAGCATCAGAAAATGTACTGAATTTAGCTAAACCTTTCTGATCTAAAATTATGGCTGAGAACTCATTAGTACAGTAAGTGTCACAAAATGTCTACAATGTCCAGATTCTGTGCAGACTACAACTACAGAAAAAAATAGTGTATTGTAGTACTCCTTTTTCAGGCCAAAACTAGGCAATGAGAGGCATGTAACATAGAAAAGCTTTACTGCTATAGGGTTTGATATGAGTGTTATGTGAAAATTCAGATCTCCTCTCATTTTGTCTGGACTATTCAGCTAATTATTAAATTTATATTGCAACATTGTTCAAACATTTTTAATTATGGCCTAATCTTGCAAATCGTTACTTATAAGTAAAGCCCTACTTAATTTCAGATAGTCAAAAATGCAGATTCTGTAATATTAGTCTTTTACCACAATTCTGACAATTGGAGACTGTACTCTGAGCTATGGGTTGCTGACGAAAAATCACGGAAAAGTAATAATGCACTTTTATTATCGCAAATAATAAGGTCCGTTATTTCTTGTCTTCAATTTTCCAAGGCTTGTCTAAAACTTAGTTATATTTTTGGCAATCAACCTGCAATTCATATTAGAGATGTCAATGGCCCCACAGAAGCGGGGCCGGAGTGCACTGTGGTTATACAACTATTCAGTTATCCGATATCAAACATCCTTAATTCATATAGAATCTTATTTATGAGTCTAGTTCTTATTCCTTTCTTCCAAGAAAACTTACATATGCTTTAAACTTTTATAGCCCTATGTTAACACATGCCATCCATCATTCAATAAAATGTCCCAATGAACTAACAACTTACAGCTACAGTTCACAGATTTAACTGTAACTTTAAAAATAATTTTGTCCCAAATGTCTTGCAACTTCAGCTATCCTGTGCCGAGGCTCCTGTTTAACCTCATGGGGACACAAATCTTTTAGTCGATATGAGAATTCCAGAAGTAATCCAAAAGGAGCACACCTGCATTTGACAAAACTGTAGATGACCAGACATGGCTTTTTTTCAGTGTCAGACAATGGAATGATGACCGTGCAGAACCTGAGCTTTCATATGAATGTGTTTAAGTTCCTGAGAACAGGGATAAGGCATAAACCCCTCTTGGCCTTGGGAGTAAGGAAATACTGGGAATAAGAACCTCTGCCCCTGAATTCCTGGGAAACCTCCTCTATTGCACCTAAAGCAAGGAGCAAGCACACCTATAGGAGGAGTTGCTTGTGACTTGTGTCCCTGAAGAAGAATGGGGTCGGAGCTTGGTAGGAAAAGAGGGAGTAGAATTGGATAAAATATCCCTCTCCTACCATGCTCAGGACCCAGCACACGGTTAAAGCGGGACAGATAGTTCTCAAAGGGTGGAGAGGGATTTGAGATTGTGGACCTGACAGCAGAGCACCAGCCACTATCAAAAGTGAGGCTTAGGCCCTAGAGGCTGCTTGGAGGAGGGCTGGCACTGAGCAGAGGAGGAGCAGGGAGGTCCTCTCCTATATTTTCTAGATCTGTCAAGCGATTAGAAAATTTAATCGCGATTAATCGCGCGCACTGCCCCTTTGAAACACCACAGCAGAGGTTTCAAGGGACAGTGCCACAACAAGCCCAGGATCAGCTGGAGTCCCTTGGAAAAAAACTGATTCTTCTAGGAATTAAAAGGAAACATGCATCTCGGATGAACACTCACTGATTCTCTTTATGGACCAGACCTTGCCTTGAGATTCATGCGTATCCTTTTGACTGAATTTAAAAAAAACCACCACAGTGCATCTCTCTTCTAGCTCCCATTTTTCCTCTTTTTAAGATGATAGTCCCATATTTTGGTGCAGACAACCCTTGCCACAACCTGCTAAATCCCCTGTTATGTACACAGTTAATATTTGTTCTGGTTTTGTGATTAAACAAAAACAATTATAAAAACCAACTAAAATACAATAAGGACACAAGTATCAGACAAGCATTTCCTTTCTTTATTTCCTTCAGAACTGTAAGCAGATAAACTGTTCAGGATCTGCCCACTGCTTGTGCTAGGTTACCAGCTACTAACTTCCTGACAGCACATTTGTTTAGGCTCAATTTGTAGAGCTCACATAGAAATATTCCCTTAGGCTATGCCATCGAGTTCATAAAGTTAATTCATATGTGGGGAAACCATTAATCAAAAGGACTCTCCCCTCCCTGCCGGCTATTGCTGTCTTGATAGCCACTGAACACACATCACTACATCACTGTTGGATAAATGACAGCTCACGTGAGCTTTTACATACTTGTGCTATTTATATCTTCCAGGTTAGCTTGTTTATTCTACGGTTGGTACAATATTAACATTTTTGGAACCCGGTAAAATGCAGGAAAAAAGAGAGGAAACAGCATGGGTTACAAAGTTAATGCCCTGATCCACAAGACTGGTATTTATCACTGACGAGGGACAAACTATGTTGCAATTAGTCAATCCAGTAGCGCTGGACAGTGTCCATCAGGCAAGAGGGGGGGAAAAAGGGATAAAAAGATGATTTTTCCTAATACTGTATTTTTCTATTTTGATTTGACATGGTTAGGATGTTAGCTGTGGCCTACTCACAGAGTGACTATAAACATTTGTATATTGTGTCCAGTGCATTCAAGTGTACAATCAAGATATGATCTGTTTCCTAATCGGGAACCAGTGGCCTATAGAGTCTATAAGAATAGATTTTTTTAATTAAACTTTCTGGCCTTGAATGTAACAGGCAAAGGAGCAAATTTTTTATTCTTGGTGCAAGGCAAGAGCAAAGGTTATTCACCATTGAATTTAACATTACAATTGTCTTTATATCAAGGTAGAATTAGGGATGAACTCTTTCTTCCTTCTCTTCCTGTCCATTTTTAAACTTATTATAGGAAAATCTGAACATACAT